TCTGGGGGCAAGCTGTTCCACTGGTTGTTTGTCCTCTCTGTCAGGAAGTTTCTCCTTAATTCCAGGTTGCTTCTCTCTTTGATCAGTTTCCAACCATTATTTCTCATCCTTCTCTCTGATGTTCTGGTGAACAACCTGGCCCCTCTGCCTTGTGGCAGCTTCTCAGATACTGGAATACTGCTATCATGTCTCCTCTATTTCTTCTTTTCTTTAGACTACCCCAGGGATAGGCAACCTTGGCTCTTTTATGACTCGTGGACTTCAACTCCCAGAATTCCTGCTCAGGAATTCTGGGAGTTGAAGTCCATGAGTCATAAAAGAGCCAAGTTTGCCTATCTCTGGACCAGCCAAACCCAAGTCTCATAGCAGTTCTTCATATGTTTTAGTCTCTAGGCCTTTGATCATCTTAGTTGCTCTTCTCTGAATTTTTCCAAAGTTTCAACATTTTTTTTCTGATATGGTAACCAGAATTGGCTGCAGAATTCCAGGTGTGATCTTAACAGGGTTTTATAAAGCGGTACTAATACTTTGTGTGATCTTGATTCTATACCTCTGTTTATACAACCCACAATTATATTAGCTTTTTTGGCTGCTGCTGCACACTGCTGGCTCATAGTCAAGTGATCGTCCACTAGGACTCCAAGGTCCCTCTCACAGTTACTGTTTTTAAGCCAGGTCTCACCCAATCTGTATTTGTACCTTTGATTTTTCCTGCCTAAATGTGAAACTTTGCTTTTGTCCACATTGAAACTCATTTTGTTGGATAGGGCCCATTGTTCAAGTTTGTCAAGATCTTTTTGGATCCTAAGTTTGTCTTCTGGGGTGTTGGCTACTCCTGTCAGTTTGGTGTCATCTGCAAATTTGATGAGTTACCCTTCAATTCCCTCATCTAACTCATTTATAAAGATATTGAAGAGTACTGGGCCTAAAAAGGAACCTTGTAGTACCCCACTGCTTTCTTCTCTCCATGTGGATGTAGTGCCATTGAGGACTACTCGTTGAGTACGGTTTGTCAGCCAGCTACAGATCCATCTGGTGCTGATGTTGTCTATTCCACCTTTTCCTAGATTATCAAGGAATAGGTTGTGGTCTACTTTGTCAAATGCCTTACTGAAATCTAAGTATACTACATCCACTGTGTTTCGCTGGTCTACTAGTTTAATCACTTTATCAAAGAATGAGATAAGATTGGTTTGGCATGATCTGTTTTTAACAAACCTGTGCTGGCTACTAGTTATGACTTTGTTGCTTCTAGTTGTTTTTTGATTACCTTTTCTAGGATCTTCCCAGGTATTGATGTTAAACTGATTGGTCTGTAGTTCCTGGGTCTGTTTTTTTCTTTCTTGAAAATGGGAACCACATCAGCAGTTTTCCAGTCCTCAGCTACTTCCCTGGAGTGCTCCAGGATTTTTGAAAGATGTGTGCAACGGTTCTGAGATAACATCTGCCAGTCCTTCAGAACTTTGGCTGGAGCTCATTGGCTGTATAATTGTGTTTGGGGGATACAGTAATAGTGAATCCCAGCAGTGATTAAACAAGTTGATATATTTTATGCCTGTATGTACAAGTGATGATGAAGAAATTAACTGAATTTCAATATTGGTTAAACTTAGCAATCAATATGCATATTCAGTCTAAATCAAAATGTATCTACACATCTGAGCTCAAACTTTTTAGAGAGTTCCAATGCTTTTGCAATTTGTCCTTATAGTAGCCAGTCACTTATTGCCTGCATACTGATACAAAATAAATTAATTGTGCTCTACAACTGGAAAGAATTTTTATATTATTGGTTACAGTTCAGTTGCCCATTATTTCAATAGTGCATGAAAGGAAAAGATCATGGAAATATAGGTTTGCTAAGATTAATTATTGAATTGATGAGAAATGGCGACCTTCCACCATATAAAAATGTTACAGTTAACATTTCTATATTTCAATATAACGTAACCCATAAGGACAACAATTCAGAACAATTCTTATATTATTTGAATCTGAGCTGAATAACTTTTTACAGAGTTCTTTCTTAACAATATGTTATATTCCTGCATAGAACTGATTTTGCTATATGGCAAGTAACATCAATTGATCATAGTAAAGAAAAGGACAGGGTGCTTTGCAAAATAATAACAGTTATGGAATGATTGAAAACTTCCCTATGCAACTAGAGTTAATTTAAGCATTTTTAGAAAAAAATCATAGTCAGAAGTCCCATATATTATCAATACCTTAAAAAACCAATCCTGAAAAAGATTGTATTGCTTAAAATATTTCTTATTTTCTCAGTGGTATTTCAGTTTATTTCAAGATCAAATTTATAGATTTTAAGGATATTGTATAAGAGAGAGATTGGCTGGGATCCAAAGAACTTCCTAACTAATTTCATCTAAAACTATTTTGGTCTCTTCTTTCATATACATTTCCCCATTTCCTGCATCTCTCAATAGAATTGTTAACAACAGTTCGAAGGAGTTCTCCAAAAGGAGGTGTTGATGTGGTTGTTTTGTTACTAAACTCTCAAACAAACAAAATGGAATAATGATGATGTTAATAATGTAACAGGAACAATAAATGCCACCTTAGTTCATTACTATTCAAATCATATGTTTTTGTAGTCAAGGCAGAGGAAATTCCCCCATAATTCAAAAATAAAAGAATGAATAAAATTTAAGCCTGTTTATGTAGATTGCTAGCAAAAACTAGCAAATTCAATCCCTGAACAACAGATACCCATTTTGGCGTAATGGTTGAGGTACTGGCTGACCATGCATTTTGCTCTTCCGTTACACATGAAATTTGGATGATTTGGGGCCAGTTTTGGTACCTAAATTTTTAACCTTATCTGCAAGTATATATGATATACGCAAATTAGGATATTTTTCTTTGCTGCCTTATACTATGGAGTGATCATCATAGCTTTTTTGTATTGTTAGTCTTACCAATAAAAGAGAATATTTGTAGCTCAGGGTTGAACTGTGGGGTCCTTGGTGCTCTCTGAGCTTGGTGCTTTTCTTGCAGACATTTCATTATCCAGCTAGGTAACATCATCAGTGCTAGAAGGGAGTAGGACCCTACAATTGTTAGTCTTATTTTGTTTCTGGTATTGTATCTGTACCTGGATATGTATTCCTGCCTGGAAGATTAGTGGTGAATTAAGCCTGCAGGATTTGCCTTTCTCAATTAGCTTCTTGACCTTAATTTACATAATCAGTGACTTGCACCTTCATCTGACATCAAGAGTCCCATTCTGACAGAGAATTTACACTACCAGCCTTTCAGCCATTCTACTAATGGCAAAAAAACTAAGAAAACCACAAATACTTTCTTGCTCTTGAGCAGAGAAAAATTTGCTCTGAATGAGTAAATGGTGACAGGGAAAGAAATTAAACGAACTTGTACAAAACTACTCTTGCTTGCTATTGTGTAAAGATTAAATTTTCATAAATGTTACAGTATACTTCAATAATTTGTTCAATAATTATGGAATACATATTGTTATTGTATTAGTCTCATATTAAAATCATTTCAGACTTTAAAACAATTCAAGCTCAATATTTCAAAGGTTAGTGCTAGTATTAAGTTGATTTTCTTATCTATGTGTTTACTAAGTGTCAATGACAACTTTATGGCACATAATCTAATACAGATAAGATACTAGTTTAGGAACACCAGATAATAAAACTCTGTCTCTTAACAAATATGGAATTTTAGAGGCAGTAAAAGGATTAGCATAAAACAAACCAGACAGCCAATGCTTGGATTGAATAAAGTGCCAATTAGGGAAAAGTTCCATTTTTTCCCTCAAAGTAGAATTTTTCCCAAAACTTGCGGGTAAAGGGATTATAATTATGAACCACTGTTTTCTATATGAATGTTACATGGCAAAGAGTACAAAACTGATCCTCAAAGAAGCAGGGTTTGCAATTCTTTCCAGTGTTACAGAGGAGTAAAATAACTCAAGTTGAACCCAGAGACAGCTCACTTCTGCATTTTCTGAGTTTTGTTATTCCAACCCATAGTACAAATTAACATGAATATGTAACTATAGGGTTGAAAATGTGGGAAAATGTTTTAATAAAGTACTCTCCATGATTAACATTGGTTTCATTTAAAAAATCAAAGTTAGGTTGTGCATGCTTAATACTATCAGGAAATCCTCGAACAGTTGGATATCCTAGGAATTCAAGAAAACAGAGGAGGAGATAAAGTTCATCTACTTTGTTGTATACGTCCATGTAATCAACAGAAGTAAAGTTTGTCTCAAAAGAGATATCTTTGACTGAAGTGAGTTAAGTTACAAACTGTTAAAATATTTTGAAAATGGAGGAGAATGGAAAATCGGGACAAAAAAAAAAGAAATAAATTCTTCCAAATTTATAGTAAACTAAAAGTGAGTTGTAAAGCAAAGACAGAAAGACAATTTTTATGAGATTTCTAACTATTGTCTTGCGTGTAGCATATTCTTCTAACAATCCTGTTTGTTTATTGGACATATAAACAAATGCTCCCCATTTCAAATACATAACTCTGGACAATGTTACAATATTAATATTTAATACAACATTAAAATGATAAATGCATATAAAAAGATGAGAGCCATGCAGCAGACCACAAACAGTCAACATAACCAGGAGATGGACTCGCTCACACGCAGGGAGCAGGATATGAGTGCTATCTCTTTTTAGGTGAGAAACAGAACAAAATGGTTGCATATGGACCTATATGCAGAGACAGTCAGAAACAGTTTATGAAGCAACTATGTAACCCTGGCAGAAAATGCAGATTTACTGATTGATAGACAGGTACTTTGAACATTTTCCTGTGTGTTGCAAGTACTTCTTTCAAAAGATTTATACAGCCATATAGTGACATTCAGAATCAAAAGTTTAGGGAAATTATTCCTATATTTTCTCTTAGAGACATTTGAAATTTTAATATGCCCTCCTTTATATTATAATCATGTTTTTTCTCTTCTCCCTTCCCCTCCCTATGTTTTCCAGGGTGATACAATTGTTTCCTGTGATTCTTATGGTGTATTGAAACTATGGGATGTTCGGAAGGGAGTCCCAATGGTCTCCATTGACGCTGGTCCTCACCCTGGCAATCAGGTGGCATTTGATCCTTCTGGTAAGATCTTTCTTGACATAGGTGATATCAGGAACACAGATTTTAGTGAGGCCATTTGTCTGCAGTGCTAGATTTATTAAGAGTTTTAGAAACCTAATTGGATGTAGTTCTACCATTTTCTTGTACATATGTAGAACAGGATTGAGAGGTGAAAAAGAAACAAACATAAAATGTTGCTGTCACTGAAATTAATGACCTTAGGAGAAACAAACCCAGAGAAAAAATATGAAGGCTACATAATATTCCTGTTTTTTGTCATTCCAAAACTTGTACAAGTATTCCTAAAAATAAGAAAGTCAAGAAGAAACCAGCATGGCTGCACAAAGATCTCTCAGACAAACTGAAAGACAAAGAGGACAAGTACAAAAAATGGAAAGAGGGACATATAACTAAGGCTGATTATCAGCAGACAGCCAGAACATTCAAAGATGAAGTCAAGAAAGCAAAGGCTCAGAATGAATAAAGACTTGCAACAGAAATCAAGGATAATAAAAAAAAGTTTTTTTCAACATATTAAAAACAAGAAAAAAGTCAAGGAAACTATAGGACCACTGAAGAGAGAAGATGGCAAGGAACTAACAAGCAATACTGAGAAAGCAGAACTGCTTAACTCATTCTTTGCATCAGTCTTCACACAAAAAGAAATTATAGCACAACATACCCCCCAAAAATACCGCAAAACACAAACTAGAAACAAAAATTAAAACAAGCAAAATGGTAAGAGAACACCTATCCGACCTTGACAAATATAAATCACCAGGACCTGACAGACTACATCCCATAGTTCTGAAGGAGCTGGCAGATGTTATCTCAGAACAATTGCACCATATCTTTCAAAAATCATGGAGCACCGGGGAAGTACCTGAGGACTGGAAAAGGCTGATATGGTTCCCATCTTCAAGAAAGGGGAAAAAACAGACCCAGGAAACAACAGACCAATCAGTCTAACATCAATACCTGGGAAGATCCTGTAAAAGATCTGCGAAAAACTAGAAGCAAACAAAGTTATAACTGGTAGCCAGCATGGGTTTGCCAAAAACGTATCATGCCAAACCAATCTTATTTCATTCTTTGATAAAGTGACCAAATTAGTAGACCAGTGAAACGTTGTGGACATAGTATACTTAGATTTCAATAAGGCATTCAACAAAATAGATCACAATCTACTGCTTGGTAAGCTAGAAAAAGGTGGAATAGACAACATCACCACCAGATGGATTTGTAACTGGCTGACAAACTGTACTCAACAAGTAGTCCTCAATAGCACTACATCCACATAGGGTAAGCAATGGGGTACCACAAGGCTCCGTCTTAGGCCCAGTACGATATCTTCATTAATGACTTAGATGAGGGAGTAGAAGGGGAACTCATCAAATTTTCAGGTGAAACTAAACTGACAGGAGTAGCCAACACCCCAGCATCCAAAAAGATCTTGATAAACTTGAACAATGGGTCCTATCTAACAAAATGAGTTCTAATGTGGAGAAAAGCAAAGTCTTACATTTAGGCAGGAAAAACCAAAGGTACAAATACAGATTGGGCAAGACCTGGCTTAAAAACAGTAACTGTGAGAAGGACCTTGGAGTCCTGGTGGATGATCACTTGACTATGAGCCAGCAGTGTGTAGCAGCAGCCAAAAAAGCTAGTACAATCCTGGATTGCATGAACAGAGGCATAGAATCAAGAGCATGCAAAGTATTAGTACCAGTTTATAAAATCCTAATAAGACCACACCTGAATACTGCAACCAATTTTGGTCACCATACTACAAAAAAGATGTTGAGAGCTTGGAAAAAGTTCAGAGAAGAGCAGCTAAGATGATCCAAGGCCTGGAATTAAGGAGAAAATTCCTAACAGTGAGGACAATTAACCAATGGAACAGCTTGCCCTCAGAAATTTTGGGTGCTCCATCACTGGAGGTTTTTAAGAAGAGATTGGACAGTCACTTATCTTGGAGCTAATGTTGAATAATAATGTAATGCTTGGTTTCAAGTACTCCAAGACACACACTATTTCATGCAGCTCAGAGAAGCAAAATCACAAAAGCTATTAAAAACTGAAAGCATCTTATTCATCATGTCAGTGGGGGTTATCATTCTGTTTTCCAAAGTCCCAGAGTTTGTAGAAGTTATACTTGCCTACTGAACAATAAATTTTACTAGCCCTGTTTTTAAAGTTAAATAATTAAATGTATATCTTTCAATTACCAGACTGAAGGCCTGGGAATGGGAATAGGTACATACGGATAAGATTTCCAGTATGAACATGTTTATTGTTATTTTCAGAAAATGTCCAAAAAAGAGAAATGGGAGTTGGATGAAACTATTCAGAATGCCTTGGGTTCCTTCTAGCTATATTATTCTATGATTCTATGAAACCATATCTGGCTTTTTTAAAAAACCAAACATATTTTTTATTATCGCTTCTAATGGCGCAATATGATATATGTGTTTTCAAATATAAGGGTTTTTTTAATTCATGTTCGGGTTTTTTTCAAGAAAGCAAGTAACTGAGTTATAGTCTAAATAATATCAATATTCAAGTCCTCCACAAAAGGTACTTAGTACAGGTAGTCTTTAATTTACAACCACAATTGAATCCAGAACTTCTGTTGGTAAGTGAAACATTTGTTAAGTGAGTTTTGCCCCATTTTACGACTTTCCCTACCACAGTTGTTAAGTGAATCACTGCAGTTGTTAGTAAGATGGTTGTTAAGTGAATCTGACTTCCCCGTTGACTTGTCCCATTGTCAGAAGGTCACAAAAGATGATCACATGACCTTAGAACACTGCAACTGTCATAAATATGAACCAGTTGCCAAGCATCTGAATTTTGATCATGTGATCATGGAGATGCTGCAATGGTCATAAGTGTGAAAAATGGTCATAAGTCACTTTTTGCCATTGTAACTTTGAATGGTCACTAAATGAACTTTTGTAAGTCGAGGATTACCTGTATTTTAATAAACGTTTTCTGTTCTTATAATAAAATGTAAAAAACTTTGCTTTTATGATTAAGAGCAGGACTGTATACCTGAAAGTAAATAGGATTTTTTTAGTGCTGTATTTGCAGAAAATATCTGGCAAGTAAGCGAAATCATCCTTTTCCTACATATATGTTTTGATGAGCCAGTCGGGTGTAGTGTTTAAGGCACCAGGCTAGAAATCAGGAGAACGGTGAATTCTAGTCCTAACTTGGGCATGAAGTCAACTTGATGAGAATAGAATAGAATAGAATAGAATAGAATAGAATAGAATAGAATAGAATAGAATTATTTATTGGCCAAGTGTGATTGGACACACAAGGAATTTGTCCGGTGCATAAGCTCTTAGTGTACATAAAAGCAATAAGTGATAAATCATGATCATAGTCATCATAAAAATACATTCATCATAAATCATAAAATACAACATTTAGTGATAATCATAGGACACTAAATAAGCAATCAACATAAATCATACTAAATAAAACAATATAAATTGTAAGATACAAGCAACAAAGTTATAATCATGAGATAAGGAGATAGGTAATAGGAAATATGAGAAGAATAATAGTAATACAGTAATAAAGATGAAAAGAATAATAGTAATACAGTATTACTAGATAGTTTGACAGTGTTGTGGGAATTAGTTGTTTAGCAGAGTGATGGTATGGAGGAAAAAAACTGTCCTTGTGTCTACTTGTTCTGGTGTGCAATGCCCTATAGCATCGTTTTGAGGGTAGAAGTTGAAACAGTTTATGTCCAGGATGTGAGAGGTCTGTAGATATTTTCATGGCATGCTTTTGGCTCGTGCAGTATACAGGTCCTCAATGGAAGGCAGGTTGGTAGCAATTGTTTTTTCTGCAGTTCTAATTATCAGTTGAAGTCTGTGTCTGTCTTGTTTGGTTGCAGTGCCAAACCAGACAGTTATAGAGGTGCAGATGACAGACTCAATAATTCCTCTGTAGAACTCTATCAACAGCTCCTGGCTCAGTCTGAACCTTCTGAGTTGGCGCAGGAAGTACATTCTTTGTTGTGCTTTTTTTCCCAAGTTTTTTTATTAATTTTACAGTATTACATTTACATATTTGAAAAGTAGCATGGCGGCTGAGCACAGTAATTCCATTACATTTGAATATCATCAGTACAAATCTCAAAGTATTACAACAACTAATTCCCTCTCTTTCCCCCATAATATCTACTGTCATATTCGAACCAATATAGTTCTTATTCTATCAATCAAACAAAAAGTACCTTTCTAATATTCATCAATAATCTTCAGTCTATACATATCTTAATTAATTTGACATTCCACCTTTTAGACAATAACCTAGTAAGTTCTTCTTAACTTTAATTTCTCATTGATATTTAAGTTTAATGTTTAATCTTTATCATTTCCAGATTTTAAATGATCCCAATTTCTAAGTCTTACATCTCACATTTGGGGCTAATATTTTTTTTTCTTTTCTTCCTTTTGCTTCCTTCCTTTCTTCCTTTCCAGAAAGAGAAATAAAAATAAAAAATAAAAATAAACCACCAATATTTATACCACAAACCCATATACAAATTTAATTATTAGTATTTATACTTCTAAGTTTTACTTACCCTTTCTTTGTCTCAACTCATAACAATATCTTAAATTCAAATCTTAGTTATTTGTAAACATTCAAACTTTTAGCCAATCAGTGACCTTGATATTTTAATTTAATATTTAATATTTATTTTTTCCAGATTTTTAATTAAACACAATTCCTTTATCACAATTCCTCATACATTCTAATATTTAAAATACACACCTTGTATATAAATTCTACCATCTATCTTACCAATCTAATAAGACAGTATAATATTCTTATTTCAATATATTTCTAGATTTTATATTACCAAAATTTTCTTTATCTCAAATCATTACAATATCTTGTGTTCAGAATACTTATTCTATCCATTTAGATATATTCTATTTTAGATCTCATGTATAGATCAAAACCCCAATTTTTTCCAATCTTATTCTAGCTTTTTT